TTAAATATTGGAGTGCAAGATTTTTATTGTTTCATTAATTTCCTAGAAAGCATATATAAATGAAAAAAATCTACCAAATGGCTGCGTATTAATTAATCCTTAATTTCTTCAAGTTCGTTGTGTGATTATGACCAAAAGTGGCATAATACAGTGGACAGTAAGATACGGAATCACGGACGGTATTCTTGGGGTTGACTATATATTTTATGATCCTTACAATGGCCCATCTTTATCCTCAAAATCCACCAAATAAATTGACATGAAAACTTCGATTTTTTTTATCTGATTTTAATTTTATCTGAAGATCATGTAAAAATAGGATATTTGTTCGAGAATGCTTGGTCTCAATTTCGAATTTTCTATTACAACATTAGGTAGATAAAGTTGGTAGTCATACTTCTCTTTTCTGCTTCTTATTCTTTTTATGTGTATTTTATAGTGTGACCCAATGAGTCATGTTAAAAATCTGTCTAAAGGGGGTTGGGATACTAAGGGCGGGTTTGGATACAAAAGTTTTCGATCAAAATGGATTTTTTTGTTAATTAGAATTAATTTAGAAAAAGATAGTATGATTAGTTTTTAGTAGAATTCTGAGTGTATATTAAAATAATATTTAAAAACTAATAATTAAGATTGATTTGATGTAAAAATATGAGAGGATGGTGTGAAATGATGGTTAGTTAAAATTATATAAGTGGATGAACAGTGAATTAAGATTGATATGTAAACATGATTTATTACTATTATTTAATTATATTGGTAATATTGATAATAGTTTAATTGAGTTAGATTTTAAATTGAATTGACTCAATGAGTATGGAATGAATTTTTTTATATTCAAGCACGTCCTAAGGATCAATTTGGAAATATTCATCCATGTGGCTATATATACAAATTGATAGTTTCTCTAGCTGGCTCCGTACAAATAAATTAAGATTTTTATCGAGCCTAATTAACATAATTGATGCTATGTTATTTTTGGATATTCGTAATGATGATATGTGTCAATTTTATTGGTCGAGGTTTATTTTTGGCCCACAATTTTATTCATACAAGACTTTTAAATTTATAAAGCACTTATGGCATGATGGAACGGAATCTAAAGGGATGAAATGAGTTCAAGAATTGAATTATTATGAGAATGAAATGAAATAATTTTTTTCATTGATTTATTTGGTATGCAGAATGAATAAAACTTAATGAATGACATCAAGGGTTGACCTAGGCAGGAGCTTATAGCGGCATGGGCCTCTGTGCAATTTTTCTAAAGAATTAGTACATATATAATTATATTGTAAAATAATTACAAAGAGATTTTCTCAAAATTTAAGGTATTTGCATTTTGTATTTGTATTATGTTGTAAGCAACATATATAAATGAGTTACATCGATTTTCTACAAAAGTCAACATTGATTTTGATACATATTGAATTTTAGGTGTTCTTAAAATTATAATTATAAGTTTAAAATTAGATACTAAATTGTGTTTGTCAATGATTTTTTAACTAATAAAATATTTATCTTTATAAGAAAGTCCATGAACACTGACGTTGTAAGAATATTCAATGCAAAAGAAAAGAAATATTGATATTTAAAAAAGATATATTTAATGAGATTTGAATTTATGTAATTATGAGTGATATAATATACAAGAACATGAATAGAATAAATATTTTTTTTTGCACTTTGTAAAGGTTATGTTTGTGCCCCTTCAGTCTTTCGAGTCTGCGTCAGCCTCTGAATGACATTATCATTTCATATTATCATTTAACACTATTTTATAAAAAAAAACTAATTTTAATATTTATATTAATGATTTTTCTTATTTATAATAATACTAAAATTATTTTATTATAAAAATATATTATATTTTAATAAATACATTTATTTATTGTTACATATAATAAATAAGTGAATTGTGTATTTAGATATATATTAACTAATATAAATATATCATCACAAATATAATATATAATATGTGGTCGAATATAACTATTCTTAATATAATTCAATTTATGAATAAATATATAGATTATATAAAAATAAAGTAATATATATACCTTCTAAACTATTTATAGATGCACTTTTTGTGAGTTTTGTTTTTATTAAGTATTTATTATATCTGACTAAATATGAATAATAAATAAAAATAAAATTATTTTTACTTATTTATTTGAAATTTATTTTTTAAATAATTTTATTTAATATAATTTAGTCATTATCTATAGTATATGTTATATATTTATTTTTTTTATTGTTATTTGTTAATTTTATTTTCTTGAAAAACTATCCTAATGATATGAGAATGAGAAAACTTTGCATTAGCTATGGAATGTCTAATCCCATAGAGACGGGTTTTGTAATTCCCATTAAAATTATCATTCATTTCTAAAAATATATCAATCATGGAATTAAGAATAAGTATGAGAAAGATTATTACGTTCTCATGTCATTTCATCATATCAATCTTGTCATTAGTAGCAATGTTTTGAAACCCGGTCCAATAATCGACTAGAACTAGTCTTTGCGTCACCCGTTTAATACTCATCGGTTCAATTCTGAACCGGATAATTAATTTGAAAAAAAAAATTATATATATACTACTTTTATCTTATAAGTACACATGAAAATAATAAAACTAAATAACTTATGATTATATTTTATACCTCTAAAATTTTTAATAATATTATATCTTATCATAATTATTTACCATATATATATATATATATATATATTATTTTTTAAATCATATATATATATATATATATATATTATTTTTTAAATAATAAATATGTAAAATTAATAAAAATAAAAAATAATGGCCAAGTCAAACTGGCCTAGCAGGGTTTACTGAATCCTTTGTCAATCGACCTGAAGGACCCACCTAGAACAGTCCCGCTTCTAGGTTGACCCGAGAGGCCAGCCCCTAGTGAAAAATATTATGCTTAGTTGACTTCAATTGCAAATGTGTTTAATATTTTCATATTTTATATCTACGATATATTAAATTATTATTTTTTTAATAATAATTGAATTGACATCTATATCATATGTAGAATAAAAAATAAGTACATACAACTTTACATATACATGTAATCCATCCATCATAAACACAATAATGCAATTTTTTACAAAATATTTAAAAATATAAACCAAAAATTCTATTTTATCTTTCTAATCTTTCAGTGGATAAATTTCTTAAACGAACAAGTATTTTACTTACTAATATAGACAAAATGCTCATTAATTATTAGGCATGTCCATTTGAACTTCTTGTCTCCAAGCCAAAAAGTAATTGGGACAAACTAGAAATAGTTTTTTTAAAAAATACACTTATTGATGGGAATCATGAGAAGATCTATTTGTAGAAGATAGCCCACCAACTCAAAAATTAAATAGAATAAAAAACAAAAAATTCTATCACATTTAATTTTGAGCTTATTTCTTTCACAAAAGCTAAAATTAATGGGACCAGATTTCAACATCTGCCTACTTACAAATTGCATTTTGGACATATGTAATACATAGATGACTGGACTAACCATTAATCATGTATGCTTTTAGGGTATAAACTAATTAGCTTTGCAACTCTAAGAAGATATTGCCAGATTTGTTTGAAGACCATAATTTAAATATCATATTACTAATAACTGATTTTATTTTATTATTTTTTGTAAAGAATAACACATGTTAGTTGAATACGTCATGCATGGTTATACAATTTCATTTCAATTTATTTAGGAAATATTTGGGTAATATATAAAATGAAAGAATCACACGTGTTGAGAGGATAATCAGAAGTCCACAGGACTAAAGATTTCAAGTGATTGCAATTATATTTTAATTACAATTTAACCACCAATTGTCTGGTCTTTCAAATTATTAAAGAGATTTTCTATTTTATTTTATTTTTTTCTCTTTTGACTTATTTTAGGGTATAGTATTGTACATTTTCTACAAAACTAACTTAAATCGCCGTCTTTCCTAGGTGATTCCTATTGTTGACTTTTATCATTTTCAATAAGATACGTTATTCTTTAATGGCATGGAAATATAATTGCATGTATTCTTATAATTAACTTTTTATTCAAAGTGTTGTTGGATTGCTAATTGTTTAATTTGGAGCACTAACTACAACAATTGCATATTTTTTCTATTAACATTTTGGAATTATTATAGATTTTTTTTTTTTAACTATTTCAATGATATATGTTAAAAGTCATAATATTTGAATATCAAATTTCAATTATTTGGAATGTTTTATTAGTAGAGGTGATAACATAATTATTTTTTTTATATGTGACAATAACCTTATTTCGCGATAACATTAACCTTATTTCGCGATTAGTATTTTAAAGTACGTAGCGGCTTGAAATATATTTTTGGATTCAAAAAGACCGATTTCGAAAAACTTCAATATAAGAGCCCTTTAAAATGGAGGAATGATTTTTTTTTTATTTTTTTTTTCCATATCAAACAACTAATCAAATATCACATGAATTTGCATATCAACTAATTCAACCAATTAATCCTATCGATTAGTTAAAATTATAAATCAATATTCGGTATTACCTAATTCAATAAGCCATAACTATTATCCATTAATTTAAAAATATACTACAGATATATACCAACACCCTATACAATAGCTCAAAATAGGCTTGATTTATACGTGCAAATATGAGATTTCAAACAATAAACTGGTGGGCCCATTATTGCACCCTACAAATCTCATGAGAGCTTATTTTTAAATTTTTTTATCCTCATAATATTGACCTTTGTTGCATTCATGATATTGGCTAATTAGAAAACTCCAATAATTCCAACCCTTCAAGAAATAAGTGCACTAGTCATTAGTCAAACGCCAATCAGCCTCTCACTATATAAAGGGAGAGGACCAATCCACAATTTTCACACTCAAAAAAAACTTCACAATTCAAAAAATTCCACCAAAAAAAGAAAAAAGAAAAAGAAACAAATATTTTTTCTATCCATACTCAATGGAGAAATACTCTACATCAAAATCCAGCTTAAAAAAGAAGCTCAAACTATTCGGGTTCGAAATCAACTCCCCCAATCAAACTCACCACGAGATGTTGACTTCCGACGTTCACAGCATTGACTCGTCAATCGGCTCGGAAAATAGCTTGAGTCCCACCGAGCAAACTAAGAAGAACAAAAAGTACGAGTGCCAATGGTGTTTCAAGGTCCTAGCCAACTCACAAGCTTTAGGCGGACACCAGAACGCGCACAAGAAGGAGCGAATGAAGAAAAAGTGGCTTCAGCTTCAAGCCACTCGAGCCGCTGGCTTGAGCCACTACCTCAATAGCCAATCATTTGACGGCTCGTACGAATATAACTCGTCCGACTATGATTGTCCGCCTGAATTTTGCCTCGATGAGGGCCCACAAATTAGTTTTTCGGGGGAGGATCGATTTTCGGGATTCGGGTTCGAGCAAGAGTACGCGCAAGGATTCAGTCTCACGCACTCTGATGGATCGTCGAGCTCGTCTTATGATTATTTTAATAATTATAATGGTTATGGTGCTAAGGGGAATTTGGATCTTCAACTAGGGTTAGGTGTGGATTATGATGTTCCTCCTTTTTGAATTTGTGCAAGTATATCAAGGGATATGTAAGCTTGCTTTTGTAGAGGCTTTTACTTTTGTCTTTTCTTTTAATTTTTCTTTCCTTTTAGTTTTAGTTGTTTATTGGGCATGGTTAAGTAAGTAAATCAATTGAGATATGTCATATGTGTATGTGGATATAAAAAATAAAAGTGGGCTTTATGAAGATCATAAGTTTATTTTGTGTAAGAGTGTAATAACTTAGGAGTCTATGACCAAATATAGTGACATAAAGTACTCAAACACACACATACACAAAAAATCATCTAAGTACTTTTTGAATGTCATACTTTTTCTTCTAAGGTGTTAATAGTCCAATTAAAAGTAGTATTAGATCAAGTGGAAATGTTTAGGTAGAATGATAACGTTTGAAATGTATTTGGGCCATAATCAATTTTCAAGAGACCTTAAAAGTCAAGTTAGTTAATTGGTTGACTTAGCCCAAATGAGTGCAATTTGTATTTACTGTGGATTTGGTATATATGTGTATGCTCTTGCTATTTGCACTCCTCATGTGATAAATATATTTCATCTTTTTCAATTAGATAACTTTTTAGTAGTTGTGATAATATATTTATACCAGTTTTGGTATGGTTTTACTTGTTGTACATAGAAGGTTGGCTCCACTATGGAGCCAACTGTTGGTTTCACAGCAAAACTGATATCTGTATATATTAATATATGATTTGAGGAGATACGACAGAAAATGATATGAGGCAAAACAGGAATCATTTTTTTTTTTTCTAGAATGACACTTATTTGTAAAATGTTACCACTTTTCTTTTCATTTTTTGGAGTTAAAAACTTATAGNTTCCAAAAAAAAAAAAATTATCATAATTTTTATTTGTTGTCTGTTTGACAAATAATTATTAAATTAATATACTTTCAAAATAACTATGATTTAACATCAATATTTATATCTAATAAAAATTAATAATATATTCAATAAAACATAAGATAGATTTATATATTGGTACCAATTTTAAAATAATAGGTGCCACTTTCTCAAAAAGTAAATAAAAATTATATATCAACTACAAGTTTTAGCACAAGATGACTTGAAATACATAAAAACTTTCGAAATGCAGAGATTGACATTTGGAAGAAAAGAAAAAAAACATTTTTATGTATTTTTTAGTTTTTACATAGGTTTTAAATGTTTATTTGATAATATAAAGTATGAGTATAAACAATTCGAAGCATAAATTACACGAACGAACTTAAAAGGATAAACTAACATGTCGTCACGCTACGAATTATTGCAATTAATATGATAAAATAATATTTTAGTATATTTGTCCCGCATTGGTTAGAAAAAAGTTATTATGCACAAGCACAATGAGTATAACGCAGTTCCAAGCATTTTAAATTACCCAGTGACAAGAAGAAATAAAATTTTCGTAACATAACTTTTATAAATAAAATAAATGAGTAAATTGATAAATTATTTATCTAATGGGAAAGTGTGAGAGTTTAATGAAAGGAGATGCCAAATTTTGACGTGGGTTTAGGCTGGGCTTTAATTTCACACACTTGTGGATTGACTTGAAACTGGCCCATATATTATATGGTTTTTGCTCTATGGAACTTATAGAAATGAAGTATGGAACTATATAACTTGGTCTTGAATTGGTTTAAAACCCAATTCACATTAATTTCATAAAAATAGATAAGTCATTTCATATATATAGACAAATGATGTCACATGAGAATGGTATATAGTGAAAGAAATAAAACTAAATTTGTACTATTGGATCCATCAATGCAACAATGATGATCAAGTTAGATTTTATTATATGGTAGTCAAACATGCGATAGCAATATTGTAAATAAGTAGACATGTTGTGATCAAATATATACATTAGACCACTCATTAAGAGTAAATTAGACAATTTACACTCACATTCCCACAAAGTGGACTCAAGCTCAAACCACCACATCTCTCTCTCTCTCTCTCTCTCTCTCTCTCTCTCACACACACACACACACACACACACACACACACCCACACCGTCGGTCCCGTCGCTGTCCACCAACAGTACAGATGTCGCCGCCGCCGGAGGTCCACCCGGCTATTGTGGCTATTGTCGAAAACATTATTCGGAACACGCACGACTCTCCATCATAAAATCAAGAACGCCGTTGATTGTTGTCTTCTAGAATGCCGCCAACAATCGCCGCCACATTTTCCATCACCCTCTCCATCTGCCGTGAGTTTGTGTTTCGAGGTCTCAAGGCCATGTCCATCTCAAGGATGTTCTCCGACGACGTAGAACTGGTCAGTGGGGAGGGGATGGCGGCGGTCAATTGCTGGTGAATGAAATTGGAATGGAGTTCAGATCAGATTTCGTTTCAAGAGTTGGGGCCTCTATTTGAGAATTTGATAAGTTCAAGTGACTTAGTTGTAATTTTAAAAATTATATTAAATTTTAATTTAATTCATGGGTCAAATCTATAGTTTATAAAAAAATACACTAATGCATGAACAATATTGCGTGAGAAATGCATATTATAAATTATGTTTTATTTTTTATGAAATTACAGAGTTGGTAATCTGTCAGTTAAATCGATTCTTAAATTATCATGCAGGCGGGTGCACATCTGTGGCCGAAGCCATCACTAACACTTAGTATATAAATTTGTTATTTTTGTGACCTATACAACTCTTTTTATTATAACTAATAGATTAATCTCATTTAGGAGTCGAATGTGGGATAAGATTTTTGACTATTCGAATCCCACAGCCACCGTTACGTGTCCATTAATGACTAAATTTAATTATTTATTTCTCACTCATCGAAAGTCAATTTTGAGAAAAAAATAAATATATCAAGAATATCTACTTAGATAGTAGAATTATTCTACACAGTTTAATTCAACTTAAATTAAATACTTAGTCTTAAAAAATTAGTCAAAATCGGGTCAACCCAAAATTTTTCATAACTCATTTTTTAACAAAATCTGCAAACCAATACAACCTTCAAAAGGAGTATATTGTTTAGTAGTTTTTGTTGTTATCCGAACTCACTTATCTGCAAACCAATACAACCAAGATTCTCACAAGTGAAATTTAGATTGTGACAAAACTCTACTTGCCTATACAAAAATTGAATTATTATTCGACATTTTCCAAGTTCATGGCTTTGCCTTTGTTCGAATATCGCAACATTTATTTCGTATATGAATGATTACATCAGCTTCCAGACTCTGAGATGCTCTGTAAAGATGGCCGCCATGATTTTGTCTTCTGTTCATAAAAGCAAATGAGATTTTTGAGTTTTTATTGTTGTTATTATAATGAGTGTTACTTCTTTAAGGGGATGAGTGCAGTAACATTTCCATAGAATAAAGAAAGTTTCGGAACTCTTCTCTTACGAATGTGGAAAACGAAAGATGGAATTAACCACTAATGTATGTTTCGAATCGGAACTCTTTTCTTACGAATGCAAAATGACGTAAGACTGGAAAATTACCGCATTGTCCTTCTTTGCTGCCCGAGAACCGGTGCTCTGCTTTTCGTGTCTTATCGGCAAGTTTTCGCCTATTTCCGATTCTTTTTTCTTCGTCTTTGCATGCTTCTTGGCTTTAAGTACGTTCATGACCTCTGTGCAGCAAAATCCCACAACTCTCACAATCAAGATAGATCACAAAGGCAATTATGTGCACTTAATCAACAACTTGGACACTCATTTTTTTGCAAATAAGTTGATTCACAAAAATTGCCCTTTTAACTCAACGTATTATTAAAAATTAGAGATATGACCTTGCAGAGAGATAAAATGCACTCATGTTTTGATTTTATGAACCAATCTCTTGCAAACTAGTTGACTAACAAAGATGCTAATATAAAGAAAATAAATAAATAAAAAAATGGAAAAAAAAAAATGCACCTACTACTATAAAGATAATTTAACTTTTTCACCCAAGAAAATACGAAAGTTTGTCGCCTATTCATCGCACAGTGCCTTCGCATTTTAACTTTTTAGGGTGAAAAAGTTGATAACTTATCAGCGAGCAGCGTAAAATTCTTAATACATTTTCATAGTAGGGTGAAATAACTACTTGAAAAAATACCTTGAGTTGTGACAAGCCGATATGCTTGGCCAAGAACAAGAGTATCGTTTGGCCGGAGGAGCTTGACACGAGTGTACCGAACATTCTTGTTCTGATTTAAATCCTCACCGAAAACCGACAAGGGGATTATGAGGGATACATAGTGACCCGGGTTCGTTTTCATGACCTCACTAGCCGTTATCGGCCAATACATCATCTCTTGCTTGCCGCTCGGGTGTTGTATCACTAATGCCGCCGCATCTACAGCCTGGCAATTCCCCATCGGAGTTTCTCGACTAAGATTGCCTCGAAACTTTCTCTCTTTAGATTTTTTTTTTTTTTTTTNATTTTTTTTTTTTTTTTTGTGCCTTTAGTTTGTTAAGGAAATGTTTGTGAAGAAGAAGATAGATAAGGGAAAGGAAGAGAAGAAGGATGTGACATAAATTAATGGTCCCTTTTGGTAGGAATGTGGTTATGTAGTTAATATGCCTTTGATTTGCTTGGCTTTATATACAAGGTTTGCTATACTAGTTTTGGTACTTTATTGAATTCTTGTTTTTATGCAATTATTGTTTTTAATATATGATGTAGATAAGTGCATTATATATACTATATAGGGTCATGTACCAAATGCTTTTTATATTGTTTAAGTACATAGTGTTTATTAGTGCTCAAATATGTGGAGGATTTTGTTTATTACTTTTATTTGTTACATTTGCTGACCTGGCCGGCATCTGCTTATGGTTAGTTGCCACGTGTTAGCAGTAAGGTGGATGCTAAATTATGTCTACAGTCAATAATTTTTTATTATTATTATTTTTGTTGTTGGAGGAGCTTAATGGTTTATGTTTTTGAATAAGCACTTTGGTTGGCTAAAATTGTTTCTAACAAAAAAAAAAATAAATGTTTTTAACTTTAAACTTTCCACTAATTTTCACAAAAGTATTACGAGGGTAGAAGGACACTCTTTCAAGAAAAAGAAAGATTATTCGCATTTTCACTATATTTTTTGTTTTTACATGAAATATATTTTTATGTAAAAATGTCAATTATCTTCTAATACCATAAATTGTGTTATAAATAAGGCAAGGACGCATTAGCAAGGGGAATCCTTATGTCTAATTTAACGAAAAATATTTGCATATTAATTAATAAAGTTGGAATAGCAAGAACTTTTTCACTTTTGACTTTTGAGTAACTTACACACCAAAGTGGAAACTGTGATAGAACTCAAAAGTGGCAAAATTAGATTTACGAGAAGGTGCTCAAGTAAAATAATAAGTTTAATTAAGAACCTTCCCTTTAATAGCATGCTCCATTAAGATTTAAGACACCTTTTTATGTGCACTGTATGGAAAGTAATATGGAATAATAAGTACTAATTTTGATTAATTAATGTTAACCTCAAGCCAGCCAACCAATGAAGTGAACAATGAAAAATATTTATCATAAAACAGTTTTTATACAAAGAAAATAATTATCAATTTGTGATGAGACCAGCCAAATATACTAAATGCTGAGAGCCTCATTTTTCTACTGCTGGGCAGGTTTTTAATAGAGGGATTTAATTTTTTTTCTTTCGAAATTCAGTTATTTTTATGGACTTATACTAAATGGAACAACATTAATTGCTAGGATTGCTTGTTGTTTTTTAGTCTCTCCTGACATCTTGATTTCTGAGGCTGTTTATATTATTTATGAGCCAGAAATAGTATGTCATCATAATCATTAAAATTTGATCTTTTTAATTTGGTGAGATATTGAAGATTAAATTACTAGGTAAAGATAAAAAAAAAAAATGTGTAACACTTTAAAAAAGTTTATTATGATATGTTGATCTTCTGCTACATCAATTGTTGGACATATTAACTCGTGCCAACTGTGTGCCGAATATCGTGACTGATTAACTAGATCGTGATAAATCAAATTCAAATAAGGGTTTATGTTGATATAATTTTTGTTCTCTTTGATAAAACAAATTTTAAATTAGGTTAGTGGACAATTATTCAAAAATAAAAAATTTAGAGATCATTAAAGCCTACCCTAAGTATAGCTTGGTAATAATTAATGTCAACTGGGCCGGGGATCGCATAACACAAAAAACAATTGCAAAATAATTACAAAGAGACTTAGGTCTAAACAGAACAAATTTAATGAATCTTACTTCGATTTCTTTTATTACAGAGTATTATTGTCCTATAATTTGATTTTTAAAGATAAAATTTGTGTGAATATTATTGCTTTGCTAAACTTTGTAATCAGTGTGGTGTGGTCTAACTTGCAGGCGTTTGGCTCGAGAAAAAGAATCTAGCTATAGTGGATTGCTAATGTTTAGCAATTATTAGGCATGAAAATGTCAAAATTAGTCCAGATGATATGATATATTAATTTAATTAATTAACAGTAACCACATAATTTTAAAATAAGTTAAACTCCTATCGTTTCCAAATATATATATTTAAAATAAATCAAATTTCAGGCGAAAGTTGATAATTGATATGTTAGTGCACGTCTTTCATGAAACTTNCAATTAAAATTGTCAGCGTCAATTTTCAAAATTATGATAGTATAAATTCCAACACAACTGTTTTTTTATACATTCCTATGGTTATGAAACTAATTTTGAAACTTTCCCTAAATATTGATTAGTCAAGTAATTAATGTTTATATTAACTGTGAAAAACATATGTAAGACAATTAACTGAGATCAACATATCTCTAGTGGAAGCAAAAGAGAGATCAAAACTTAAAATCATATCTCAAAACCTCAAGTTTCTAACAAAGTAAAAATTTAATATTTTTAAAGGTTCAATTAATAACTTTATAGATATTCCCCAAAAGGTAATTTTTTCTATATGCCTAAAAATATTCTTTAACTACAAGATAAACATCTTTAAATATCCACGGTGGATAAAAGGGAACATTTTCACTAAACAATCCTATTCAATATTGGCTACATATTATATACATTAAAATTCATGTTGAAAACATAGATTAACAACAAATCAATATCAACACTAAAACAAAGCTTAATTTGTGAAGGATATCCTTTTCTTACCCTTTTCATGGCCAAATCAAAGCCTATTCAAGAGGGTAGAAGAGTAATATTCCGAATTACCCTTTTCTTCTCACTGTAATAAAACAATATACACGAAAAAAAAATATTGTGTAAATAATGACACAAAACTGAGGAAATTGTAAAACTATGAAAAAAGAAAATGATTTCATAATATCAGATTTGAAAATCACAAATGTACAAACTTTGAATGTTCACAAGTGGCTTTAAAGCCTCCTCATATTTGGACAAATTAATCTCCATTTGACTTGTCTGATTCTGCAGCCATGAGTGAGCTTTACTCAGCAAAATAATCATAAGTAAGATCTTGTTTAGAGATTTTTTTTAGAGAAAAGTTCAACAGTTTGAGCTTTAAGAGCTTGTTAAAAAAGCCAAAAATTAGATTTTTCCCTCCATTTATCCGTTCAAAAAATGTCGTCATAAAAAACATCTCAAAGAGAAATTAGTTTCTGTTCATGAGCTTTAAATTTGAAAATGTCTGCTTTCTGACCTCAGAATACCTTTTCCCAATTAGTTTCTGTTCATGAGCTTTAAACTTCGGTCTGCTCGTTTTTAGCTGGCAAAAGGGGTTCTTCTTTTTCTCCAATCGCTTCACGATTTCTTGCTATACAGTCCCTAATCATCTTCACTTCTTTCGATTTACCCCACATCACCGAGTAAAACCCAATAACAATGATAGTGGAGCCCACCAAACTATAAATACGGTAAAAATGGTAAGAAATGAATAGAATCAAGAAACTATGGTTTTTTTTTTTCTTCTTCTTCTTCTTCTTTTCTTTGGGTATTAACTGTTATTTCTCAAAGAAAATATTCAAGAAATTACCTTCCAACATAAACAATATCGCCCGAGAAAATAAAACCCAGAGCAGCTGCTATGACAATGCTGAGCGGATGAAACATAGCAACGAAAAGTGGGCCCTTCTTACGTAGGCACCACACATTTACACTCACTTGGAATGCCGATCCAAAAATTCCCTGTCAAAAAAAAAAAAAATTATAAATCAAACTAAATTTATAATNTTAATTCAAATTTCTGATTAGTTTCACTCTTCTTTATATATAAATTTTGTGAAGTGTACCTGTATAATTATGTAGCCAGAAGAAGCTAGGCAGTCTGCCGCTAGGAATAATCCACCGATTATCAAGTTCAACTGTGGGGTTTGCATATATTCATTGAGAAAATTTGAAGGTGATTTGAAAATCGAGATTTCAGGGCCTTTGTACAGAGTCACTATAAAAGCACCAGCAATTGACACCACAGTTCCAATTGCTTTTGCGAGAAAACTCGAACTTTTACAGGCTAGCTTTTCCATCCTAAAATGTGTAACAAATTATAACCTTCTTTCAAGTTATTTGAATCCATATATATATACCTTTTTATGATTTGTGCAAGTTCAAATATACTGCAAGTTGTGCTCATAGTCCAAAATTCATCTCTTGAACTCAAGTAACTATACGTTTAAGCATAAAGATACAAACTTTAACGCGATCAAGGCCCCAAACACCGAAAAAAACTCCAGAAAAAGGGATAAAAAGTATACCCGAATATGATTGCAAGTATAAAGGTGAACCCCGGAATGAGATTAAGCATTGCTGAGGCAAATGCTGCTGAAGTGTAATTAATTCCGGTATATCCAGTCAGCTGAGCCAAGCACCTAACAATTATAAATAAACACAGGCATGAGAAAAATAGAGAGCTTTAAAAGAGATTTAACTCTTTCACCAAAAGTGCAAAGTGAAATGCATGCTTTTAGAAACGATGCGAAAATAACAGTTGTTATGATTTGCGAAAAATTCTTTGACCCCAAGTGAAAATACATTCGAATGAATAAAAAATAAGACCCAAGTAAAACTAAAGAATCACTTCTACAAAATAGGTAAAATATCTTCTATGTAAAACCCATTTCAAATGGAGCTGGAAGAGTCATTATTGACAATTCTCCTGGCATAGTGCTAATAATGGACTAGATCCAAATGACTCAATTAAATTCTAGTACTTCTTTTATTAGTTAAGTTTCTAGAAAAAAATATATCAAACGGCGCAATGCACCTTGGGTCGCTATGGAAACAGCCTCCTTGTATAATTACAAGGGTAAGGTCTGCGTACAACTGACCCCCTAGACCCCAACCTGTTGAGAATATATTGGGTATGTTGTTGTTGTTGTTGTTTTGTAAAACCCATTTCAGTAAAACATCCTCAATCTTCTGACAGACCCAAGTTTATCCCATAATCCCATCATTCATAAATAATCAGTCTACCTTAAAAACGCAACAAATGGATATGTAAAATATCTCCTCAAGTTTATCCCATAACCCCAATCATTCATAAATAATCAATCTGACCTTAAAAACGAAGCAAACGGATGAGATCATGAGATAACATACCCAAGAACACCCAACGAGAAAAACCCACAAACAAGCGAGAAATTGAGTGGGGCCCGGCCCGACGACCTGCGATTTTTCGAGCCCAAAAAAGATTACATTTTTTCTTTGGAAGGGGAGAAAAATTAAACAAGAACAGCTCAAAATAAGGTCGATTCTTGTGACCTGTGAACGATAAGAGATACAGGGAGGAGAATGGCGGCGGCAAGAGCGTTTGAGTAGGCGACGAATGTGTAATTAGTCATTCCGGTGGCCATGGCTCTTTTGCTGATGACGATGAGGCCCACCTGAGCTGTTGTGGACAGCACCATAGCCAAATACGGCGTCGCTTCCCTCTCCGGCAGCCTCATGAGTGGGAGAATCTCAGCTGCGACCGCCGCTGAATTTCCTTCGACCTGATGTTGGAGATGAATCTGACCAATCGCTGATGGCCGTTCATTGAGAATTTTAATAAATTAGATAATTAAGTTTAAAAATTTTAAAAATTATACTATACGTATTATTTTTATTTTAGAAATTAGTATTCGACCAAAATATAAATAAAGTATTGCTAGTATAGCACTCGTATTACACGGGTGCTTGTTAAAAAATTATTCTTAAATTTTAAAATTAATGAGAAATATCATTTTAAATTTTATTTACTTTTTTGCAAAAAAAAAATATATTATTACATATTTTAGAATGACACTTGTTACTTGTACGACTTACGTGTGTTATATTATAGTAATTTTTATAACTTATATCATATAACTACTTGAAATATAAATATATTAATTGATAATTAATTTTATTTTTCTAATTAGTATTAAAAATAGTTTTATTATTGTTATAAAGATAAATATAATTTATTTTTTTTATACATACATTATGAATGTTAAATCGAAGCTCGTCAAGAGATGATTAATTTGATTTTTATATATGTAAAACTGCTAAAAAATATAAAAGTTATTAACTTTTAAAATACATTTACAATTGTTATAATAAGAAATGATATTAAAATGCAATTAATACATATAACATAGACCATAAATAATCAACATTTTTGTGGATAATTTGAACTTAATTATTTTTGGATTTGAAGTAAATTAAAATCTACTCAAGCCTAATAACAAAACATGTAATTTTGCCACATAGGATCCGAAACATGCGAATCTTTCACTTAGGCTCAGTACGTTCTAAATTAATATATAAGGGGATATTAGGAATTTATAAGTTATATATTATAGAATTACAAATTTTTACATGACGTGGATTAATTTTTTTTTTTTCAATATTAAAACTATTCAAAATTTACTTTCATTCATTTTTTTTAGACTTTCATTCTTTTAAAGTTAACAAATTGACTCTTANTTTTTTTTTTGGGTACAATGAAGGAAGCCAAAGTCCTATACTAGTACTTGACGGGGATAGAAAACCCCTATAATATCATGATCTAACCAAGAACCAACACTTGAAGGTGGGGTAGAAACTCGATGAACCCCAGTCGGAAAGGATGCCGCCAGTCCTGCGAGGTGGTCGGCTGCAAAATTTGCTTCTCGGTGCACATGTTGGAGACGAACCGTCCACTCCCTTTCGATCATGCAACGAATTGCTCTAGCCAGCGACTCATGGCCTCCGAATTGTCGTTGGTGATTACACACCATCTTTACTACGCATTGACTATCGACCTCGGCCACTACTTTTCGATAACCCTTATCCCACGCCAACTGCAATCCTTGAAATAGCCCCCAGAGCTCGGCATCCGTAGTGGTGCAATACCCTATATTCATAACGAATCCCGCTCTCCACCTGCCCGTGTCATCGCGGATGAGCCCACTCGCACTGCTCAACCCGGTGAGGTAATCAACCGCGCCATCGGTGTTTATTTTGACCCACTCAGATTCCGGCGGGGCCCACTTGATCATACGTGTAATATGTATCGCCGCCCCTGCCTTGATGTATGCCTCTTGTGCCCGAGAATAATTATCTACCAAGTTCAACACTTCAACTCTCCTAGCCTCGACGGTTGGTTGTTTTTTATCAAATATCCTTTCATTGCGCCATTTCTAAGTCCGCCAGAGCATAGTCGAGTAAAGGCTGCTCCAGTTCGTAGACTCTCCTACCCGCCTCGTCAAGAGATTTTTACGCAGCCATTCTTTGAGAGGTTGATGGAAAAATGTTACATCGTGATTGGCCGGAAGAAGCTGATCCCAGAGGGCCTTTGTAAACGGACAGTCCCGCAGCACATGGATAACCGATTCATCTTCTCCAGAGTAGTCGCATCCTACTGATACCGCAATATGCCGCCTCGCTCGCTCGGAGTTAGTAAGCAGCCTTTCTTTAGCCGCTAGCCATAGAAGTGTACGGGCTCGTTGGGGCGCAGGTGCACGCCAAATAATTTTCCATTGTTGTTGGTCGAGGTTTATTTCTCTGCCGGATAATGCCCTGTATGCTGATTTCGTGGAAAATTTACCGTCTTCGGAGTAGCCCCAAATAATTCGATCCTCACTTGCCTCATCACACGGTGGAATAGTACCAGCTATACGAAGTATGATGGACGAGGGTAGAATGCCGTGGAAACTTTCCCACCTCCATCTTCCATATTCATCAACGAACTCTGCCACCTTCGAGGAAATATTCATTCCATTGAAACAACATTAGGAATACAAAAGATTCCGATACTAAAGTCAGATATATAATCAAATATATTTTGTAAGACAAGACAGACTCTGTATAAAGTGAAGCTAGATCCATGCAATATAGGAGCAACATTTTGTAGTCATTTGAGCAAACTCGAAATTCATTAAAACGACAAAACGATTAATGAGAAAAAATCTATAGCCGATAAACTTCATAGAATATAATGGAGTACAATATTTGTGTGCTAAGCGGAGTTTGTTGACTTAATCAATTGTAAGCTATTTGAATTGCTTCTGCTTTTTGGGTAATTAATACTAGTACAGAGCCCGTGCGATGCACGGGATGTACATTTTTAAGGCTATTTATCCAGGCTTATAATTATATACATGAATAAAAAAAGATGTACGGAATATATATAGTACGTGACCCGTGCAAAGCACGAGATATATTTATTTAGAGAATATTATATTATAAGATTCAATATTCAATAAAAGTTTATAATACGCAAGAAAATTATACAATGTTCAATAAAAGTTGTACAATATTCAAGTGGAGTCTTAAAGTCTCTTGTACATTAAGACTACTGACAAAATAATATTTTAATCAATGAGTTTCCTTTCCTTGTAGCCAAATTGTGAATGTGATTTGAGCAGTACAACAAATCGATATATAGCTGACTTGCTTTTTTTATTGTAGTTTTTTTTTTGTTTTTTTTTTTATATAATGAATTTAAAGATATTCTAAAATATAGCAAAAATTAATTTTTTTATTACAATTAGGAATTTTACTAAATATAAACTCTCAATCTATGGTGTTAATCAACGTTTAAGTCTAAAAAATTAGAAATTTTTACCTCTTTTAATCAACGTTTAAGTCTAAAAAACAATAGAGTTATTCTAAGTTTTTTTTTCTACATCTTTTAAGACATTAAATATGAGCATGTTAGGGCTAGCTTGTAAAATAATTAATATATTATCTCACTAAAACATTTATACTAATAAAAATTTAATTTTAGCATATAAATTTATCCCTTGATATAAGAGAAAGTAACAGTTTTACTTATTGTTGTTCACCATATAATATTTAATTATTATTTTATTATATAATAAAAAAAAAATTTTTAAATAGTGTAGTAGAATTGTTATAAAATTATATGATTTTTTTTTTTAAATATGGATTTAATATTTTTTTATGATTTGATAATATAAACAAATCTATACTTAACTTTGATAAATAAAACAAACAAATACTTTAGTAAGTATTTAATGTATATACTAAATAGGAATATATTTGGTATAATCAAATACCAAATATAATCAAATAAGTCAAAGTGTACATTTTTATTTCGTATTTGATTTTTTTATTATTAAAATCTTTTTATTATACTTACCTTTTTAAAATAAAACAATTAAATAAATAAAATATTATAATACCAAAATAGTAATGACATTTAATGCAGTTGACTTTTCTGGATAGTAAATATAGTAAATAGAATCTCTTTTTATATAAGTATATATTGTATAATACGGAAATAATAATGCAATAAATGTTGTTGACTTTTCTTTATATTAAATTTGGTAAATGGTATACCTTTTAATATAAGTATAGATATATTTTAATTAACTGTCACGTGGTGAGTATAATAATAATAATATATAATTTATTTAATCAACTGATTACGTGCATACTATAATAATAATAATAGTAATAAACAATGGATAGCACACGTTTTGACAAGTTAAAGGCAATCAATCAGTTCACATGAATTATAGGTGAGATTAATGAAAGGTGAGATAATATCCGTTCATTTATATAATCTAGTGTGAAAAAGACATAAAAAAAAGAAAAGTGTGAAAAGGACATAAAAGTTACTAATTTTAGTAAACATTTAATGCAGACATGATGTTGACTAAGAATTGACCTACTAATTTTGAAAAAGATTAATTCTTATTATATAAGTATAGATTGATTATACTCATAGTCTATACTTTTGTAAAACGGAAGTAACAAGAGTATGTATTAAAAAAAATGACAAATTAGTTTTTCTAATTGTAAGGCCGTCTCATGACAAAATGTGTATGCGTCTACTGATCTTCAATTATAATTAGTTAGTGAGAAATGAAATGTTAATTATGAAATGTGTCCTCAAGCATTTGGTGTGGAATATGTAGAAAACGAGTTTTGGATGTTAAAAACCGTTCGAAGATGTTTAGCAGATAATGAAACAGGCGTAACTCTTGTGGTTGTGTTTGAACTTGCTATTATAATAATTAATATGTTTGCGTGACGGATTAAGTAGTTTTAGGCTCAAATTCAACCTGTTTTAGTCCTTTTTATGATTTTTAATATTTTCTATTATGTTTCTATTCATTTTTATTTCGTTTCGAGTTTGAAGCCTTTATTTACGTCAATCAGAAATTGTTTTGAAGGTAATCGGGACTTGATATTACGTTTTAGAGATTTTACTATCTCGTGCTACCATCATAGGCCAAAGTTCACAAAAATTGTCATGTTCGACTCTCGAAAAGGAATAATTTGTAAACTGATTTTAATCTAAATATAATTGATTTGTCTCATTTGATTTACTACTTCATGTTCATTTTGATTAACTACTACAATTCTTTAAACGCAGAGCTTCTGTGTTTTCACAAGGAAAATTGTAAAATAGAACCATTTCTCATAAACTAAATAAACAAATAAACCACCTATGGAGTATACATTTTGAGTTGAAGAAAACTCATCATCAGCCAAATTTAACATCTAAAAGTGACTATTATTTATTTCCNCATCAAAATCATATATAATACACCATACCCACTTCCAAAGTTGAGGCATGAGGCACACTCAACACATAACTAGGCGCCCTACAGTTCCTCCTCAAAAACCCATACCCGAAATTTATCACCATTTTCTTCAGAAAACCCGACCCGTTTTTCGCCCGTACGTACGAGTGCCCCATAATATACGCCACCCCAGCCTCCCTCGCTTGCATCAGCTCCCGAAACTCCTCCCGGGCCCCACCCTCGATTTCCGGGCCCTCGGGAACAACAAACCGAACCCTCTTCCTACCCATTATGGGCCTTTTGGGCCCAATCTCACCGAGGCCCGACGGGCCCAATTGAACCCTACTCGACGGGCGGGTCGAGGGCGACCCGACAACAACCATGCCCTCGCACGGCCCGTTATGGGCCCGTCCCGTTACCGGCCCGGCCCGTATGAACTCGGCTACGCTACTGACGAGGTCATTTTCGAACCGTGGGTCGTCCTTGTGGGCGTCTCGGTAGCCATACCGAACAATGCATCGATAGATGCGGAAATCCTTGGGCCCGATTTGGCCCACGAGGAACCGCTCCTCGGGCCCGACGTGTGGGACCGGGACGGATTTCACGCACACGAAGATGAGGACCTAGCCGAGGTCACAGAATAAATGTTAGTTTACGAAATTACCCCTCAACGTCAGCAGAAATCAGGACATTGCAGTGTGTGTTTCGTAAGCACCATAAGTCTAAAAGCCTATTTGTGTTCAAATAGTTTAGTTATGGTAGAACAAG